CATTTTTAAGTTTTTTTATTTTTTTTCAATGTGGGGGGGTGGGGCCTCGGGTGCGCCCCCGGAATCCCGACCCCGACCTCCGGTACCCCCTCCCCCTCGCCCGCGGCCGCAACGGTCATGACCGCGGGCCCGCGGTCGACCGCATGGGCCGCGGTCATGCCCGCGGTGACCGCAGCAGCTTCTTCTTTTTCTGCTTTATCTTCCTCTTCTTTCTTTCTTTTTTCCTCCGCCTCCCTTTTTGTCCTTTCTTCTTCCTGCTGCTTGTCCAGCAGCTGCTTGGCCATCTTCCCTACAGCACTGAGAGAATCCTCAAGTTCTTTACTCAAGGAGACAGTCCCTCGTTGCCCACCGTTCCCTGGCCTTCCTTGCAATCTCAGGCACTGGCTTTTGTAGTGTCCAATCTCGTTGCATTCATAGCACCTTACTTGCCTCGTACCCCAATCACCGTACCCCCTTCTGTCGTAACTTTCTGCCGAACCTCCTCTTCTGTCACTGGGTCATTGTTCTCGGCGCTCCTCCCTGCCTCGGTCACGCCTCTCATCACCACCGCTCTCCCAACCGCTCGTGTCATAGCCGCTGTACCTATTCCTTCTTCCTCCTAAATCATACCTCCGGCTTCCCATCCTGTCACCTACCATAGGCCCTTCAGGCACTACTCCGATGTCTTGAGTTGTCACGTTCAAAACCCGTTCAGCTGTGTTCTTGATATCTCCAAAAGCAGCTTCGTCAACTCCAATCAGTCTCAGTAAGTCTCCTCACTCCTCGATAATCGTTCACCTTAGTCGCTTCTCCAGCACTCCGTAGGCACGTAACTCACTACCACCATTCTCCAAGTAACGTCCCTTGGATGGTTGTAGAGCTCGCTAGAAGTTGATTACAGACGATGCATGACTTGAAACACACATGCAGCCACATGCAGCGCGGAGGTTTACACAACGTAAACTCAGATAGATGTATTCAATTCAAAACGAAACGCAACGTGCATAGAAATTGTCGATATAGCTCGGGCACAGCATGCGAGACTATGGTCTGCGCATCTGGCTATTCCCCGACGTGTGGCGTCTCGAACTGAGAGACCTATCCAAAAGGGCCGTCGATTATTATAGTCCAACCGGCTCTCGAAAACAAAGGAAAAAACAGCAAAAGCCAACTCAACTAGGCTAAGCCCTTACCCAAGGACAGGCCCGTGTTCAAACCCTCCGGAGTCCTACCAACTTTCGAAAAACAAAGGCGAATAACGCAAAGGCCAACTCCCTAGGCTAATCCTTTACCCAAAGACAGACCCGTGTTCGAACCCTGTGGACTACCTCCTATCCTTACTTCCTCCGAATCAAAAACAGCATACAACGTAAACCACGAAAAGCCGA